ATATCGAATTTTTCTTTCACAACTGACAGTTTCACTTTGAAGATCTGATTTTATTGAACTAAGCAATGATTAAACTGTGACGATTTCTGCATCTACATAGAATCTATATAAGAATATATGCTTGAATATATATGTATGTTTATTATTAATAAGAAATAACTCCACACTATTTCTCTTCGTCTTTAAATAGTACTTAGAGAAATATAATGGCATACTAAATAAAAATATCTAGGTGCGAGTCTGGGGTACAGTCTACAATAAATAAAACAAAGAAGAAGAAGGTAAAACGAAAGAGAGGCATCTGTTACGAATGAATGTTTCAATTAATGAAAAGTAATCGAAAGGTATACGATGATATAGATTGACACATAAATATATAAGAAAAACACTGAGTTTTAGTTTATGTTCAACGACTATATAATGTACAAACGTCATTAGCCGATAATTCACGACTATAAATACGAAAATCATCCATATCACCTTTATAAGGCATTGTATTTGCTTGACCCGTAAAACATGAAGATGTAGAATTGAAACTATTACCTAATGTTATATAATTAATACTTTCACTTGCCACGTAAGTTATTGCTGAACTAAGGCTTGATGCAACAAGAATATTATTTATATAGAGACGAATACCATTGCTTGAACTCCATGTCTGAACAATATGTGACCAAACTGATATTGAGACAGATTTTGTTGGATCAACACTAAATGTAACACTACTACCGTTATAAATTTGGGCAGTTATAGAATTATTAGAAGTAAATGCAAGGAATGGCATACACCATCCAAGCCCTGTTATATTCGATGATACATGAACAAGAACACCTTGGAGAGAAATCGGTCGAATCCAGAGAGAAATCGAAAATGGTTTATTTGATTTTCCAAGTGCTGTAAAACCATATGCTTGAAAATAGGAGGAATATGAACCATCAAATGAAATAGCTTCTGAGTATCGACCAGTTGAAATCGACGATGTTGATTGTGTTATTGCTGCATTTAATGAATTCGGACCCGAATCATTAAGAAATAATCCATTATCAAAAGTAAAATAAGCAACTAATGTTGCTATTTCAAGTATTTCACATGATGATTTAACTCGATTTGATACCGTCATTTGATCCATATAACCCTAAAATAATCGAAAGGAAATTGTACCATTTGTCTTTCAACAAACAATGTTAAACTCCATTATTAATTGATTTTATTTCGAGCTGTATATCGTACGATTGTTTACCTGAAAATAGTTCAAGTCTGAACTACGGCTTGCCGCTACTGGTATATATCCTATTGTAATACCAGTTGCGGTCCCTTTAAGAGTGGAGGATGGCGTGCGTGTATTATCTAGTACTCCATTGAAATAAATCATCTGTATTGACGTTGACCGATCATACACAAATGCNATTACATGAAAAAAGAACTGGGCGAAGGTACTCCACTCAGTAAACTTGGTCACTTAATGATTAAAATGGGCGAATTTAATCACGCTCATGAAATATATGATGCACAACTTGCTTCTGTAGATGAAGGTAATTGGCGCAGACAATCGCATCTTAACCATCAACTTGGGTATGTCTTCGCTGAAAAGGGCGACTATCAGAAAGCATTGGAATACTATCAAAGGGCTCTTAAAAGCGAATTAGAGTTCGTATCGTCAGATGACCCATCACTGGCAACAACCTATAATAATATTGCCGGTGTTTATGAATCGCTAGGTGACTATACATCTGCACTGACCGAATATCAAAAAGCGTTAGAAATACAAAAGAAATCTCTTCCTTCTGATGATCCTGCACTTGCTACCACGTATGGTAATATTGGTCTAATTTACAGAACATTAGCGGACTTCAGCAAAGCACTTTTATTCTATGAAACAGCACTAGAGATTCGCCGGAAGCGAGTACCACCAAATCATCCTGATTTTGGAACTATGTATGGTAACATTAGCGGAATATACAAAGATATGGGAAACTATTCCGAGGCGTTGAATTATTCTAAGAAGGCGCTTGATATCCGAGAAAGGTCTCTTCCTCCAAAGCATCCAGATCTAGCATCAAGCTATGCTAACTTTGGCTCGGTCTACAGTTCGATGCGAAATTATCAACAAGCGTTAGAATACTACGAAAAAGCACAACAAATCCAAACTGTATCGTTGCCCGCTAACCATCCTGACATTGCCACTACCTACAACTGTATTGGATCAGTGCATGATTCAATGGAAAACTATCCCGAAGCGTTATCATGTTTCGAAAAAGCGTTGGAAATTCAGAAGCAGGCTTTACCAGAAAATCATCCAAGTATTGCTAATACTTACAATCATTTCGGATCTGTGTATTATTCTATGAATAATAAATCAGCTGCATTATCAAGCTACACAAAATCGCTGCAGATTGAAGAAATGACATTACCTTCAAATCATCCATCCCTGGTTACTTCGCACAACAACATTGGATCGGTATATCAGCTGATGAAAGACTACACAGCAGCACTGTCTTCGTACGAGAAAGCACTCGAAATCTGCCAGAAAACTGAACAACTAACTCAATCAGATAAAATGGTGACAACTTATAACAAACTCGGATCGGTGTACAATGTCATGAAAAAATATTCCGAAGCGTTATCGTATTTTGAAAAGGCATTGGAAACACTAAAGAAATCGTTGTCTCAAAACGATCGTAGTTTATCGGTTACATATAACAACATGGGTATAACTTATTCTGCGCTGAAAGACTACGAGAAAGCGCTCTCGTATTATTCTAAAACACTAGAAATCGAACGGAAAACTCTTCCAGAAGACCATAAAGATATAGCAACTTCTTACAGTAACATCGGTATAGTTTACAACGAAATGAAGAACTATCCAAAAGCTCTAGAATATCACGAAAAAGCATGTGCCATTCGTGAAAACAAGTTGACTGCCGACAGTCTCGTACTTGCTTCCACTTATAGTAACATCGCTTCAGTGTATTTCAACATGACGGACTATCCTAAAGCCATTTCGTTCTATCAGAAGGCTGCTGCTGTTCTTGGAAAGTCTGCCTCGAGTGACGAACTTGATCTAGCAACCAATTACAATAATATTGGCATCTCTTACAGTCACATCGATGATAAAACAAATGCCCTTCAGTACTATAAAAAATCACTGGATATTCGAGAGAAAAAATTACCAGCAAATGATCCAACACTCGCCTCAACATACAATAACATCGCGTCCGTGTATTTTGACACGAAGGACTATCCTACAGCCATTTCGTTCTATCAGAAGGCTGCGACGGTTCGTGAAAAATCTCCCTCAAGTGATGAACTTGATCTAGCAACCAATTACAATAACATTGGCATCGCCTACAGCCGCATTGATGACAAAGTGAACGCCCTTCAGTATTATCAAAAATCGCTAGCAATTCGAGAAAAGAAACTACCACCAAATGATCCTGTATTGGCTGCACTCTATCAAAATATTGCAGCAATACATTCATCAACAGATAACAATTCAGCTGCTGTTGATTTCTACGAAAAGTCACTCAAAATTCGAGAATCGTTGCCATCTCCTGACCATCAATCAATGGCGATCGCTTATTATAATACAGCGATGGTTTATTTTAAACTCAAAGACTATACAGCAGCGGTCAGGCATGCAGAAAAATCTGTTAGCAGCGCTCGTCTAGCTTATGGTCCCGATCATGCCGAAGTAGCAGAAAATCAAGCTCTAGTGGACAGAATCCGTCGCTTACTATAAAACACAGAGATAGTCACATCATATACATAGGAGACACTTACATCACTAATCAAGGACTTTATTTTCAATAAAATACTTTCTACATATGAATTTGCGATCTAGGAGGTGAAGATAAAGTTGAAGTTTGATTGTTAATTGAAAAATTTACGATATAAGTTTCTGTTCTGGGTAATAGTATTTTGCGAGCTAGCATATTCGGCAAATAGTTCTGCACAGTATCTCGATTATACCACACGAATACTCCCAATGACATAACACAGATGATAACAAATGTAAGAAATAGGCCACTTAATGACTCAAGTCCTAAGGCAGTTGATGGTTCATTAGCTGTTGGACATAACTTTGCTTCAAACCATTTTTTCTTCAAACTATCAAGAATACCTGTCTCTCTTAGTGATAAAATGTTGACATCTAGATCTTTCGCATACAGCCACTGTTTTGGTGTAACTATGCCGAATGCGCTTTTATCAAAATCCTCCCCGATTAATGTTAAATTACAATAAATATTATTTGTTACGTATTCAGCGGTGCCAGAATCCATGAATGATGCATCGATAATTCCAGCGAGTAGAGCATCGTACATTTCTTGTCGAGATTTCAAAGAATAAAAATTTCGATTGCCACTGGAGATTTCTCGTAAATAATAATCTTCACCTGCAGTGCCAACGCGAATACCTATCCGGTTGAACGGGATCTTGCCATTTTTCATATCGTCGATTCCATCGATTAAATCTTTTGTCTTCAAAATCGTTAAATCCGATGCTAAATTGGCAGTATACGATGCAACCAGAACTAAACTCAACATATACAATCCGACACTGACTAAGCGTCCAGCAGCCGTCTGAGCGTGAAAGTCGGCACCATATCCGACGAGAGTTCCAAATGCAAACCACAAACTCATAGCAGCGGATGAGATGATCGAACGATTTTGTAATGCTTCATTGTCTTTGCGTTCGAATATGCAAAGAATAACACTGGCAAAAACCATGGCACCTAACACTAATAACCATAAATTTGGTGAAAATGGTTTCAAATAGGATAAGAGATCAACGGGAACAGTCGCTGTTTTACGCATAAGTATGCGCATGGAATTATCCGAAATGGAATTAGAAAATGCTGCGAGTTCTCTTCGTGCGCTAGTTACTGTGATATCACCTACGGCTATGTCATAATCACCATTGGCTACTGCTTCAACTAATCCCGAATAACTTAGACTCGATGGCACTAATTGCACATCTGCAACAAATCCAATACGGTTATGTAGATATTCAAGTAAATCCGGCACATAGCCTGTTAGTTTCGTTACATTTTGCCCAGATGAGTCCACGACATTAGTGACTATTGTAAATGGAATCGATTCAATCACGCCGATTCGTAGAGTAACACCTGCGAGCATAGCTCGACCCGTGGAAGGATTTAAAGAATTTCCGGGCCAAATGGTAACTTGTGTCTTTGGGTATGTTTTCCAGCCATTCGATGTATCATATTTTAACACAGGAGTAAAACTGATATGATCAGAAGTATGTTGAACATTTTGAACATAATAATATGATCCATTAGATCGATCTGTGACATTCATATCGAATTGAATCAAACCTGAAACACCCAGAAAATGTAGTAAATTCATTGTATTTAACAATGAATTTGAATAAACTAAACGGCGATCAAAACAAAAGGATGGTCCGTTATAAGATAAACATGATGACGAGCTACTCTTGATTGAAGAACAAAATCCTTGTAAGGCTTGAATTAGAGCCCATGTCGCGTCGAAAGCAAATAATGCATAAGGATTGACTCTTGTCGTTACTGGAAATGAATCAGGATCATATTGTTTCCAAACTTGATAAGCAGCGTTCAACAATGTTGTATTAATCGGTGCATCAACAATCGAGCCGGGGACAGGCTCAACTGTGAGGATTCCAATCAATTTTGAATGATAAATTCGATCGAACGAATCTAACGAGATACTTGAAGTTAATATCCACGTAAAACGTGGGCCAAGGACATCGGCCTGAAGAGCAGATCGAAGAATCTGTTCGATATAAGTGAGCACACTCCAGAGAATCACAATGCGTGATGCACTATTGGACAGAAAACTTTTCAAATTTCCTTGTATTGAAAGTGTAACAATGTCGAAAACGATAAGATTCGTTATTTCAATATTATATTTGAGAAACGTTTCGCTCAGAATCTTTGTACCACCAATACCGTATGCATCATTTTGATAAATAATGATACACGATGTCCAGTTGTACCGAATGAATAACGTTGCAAGTGCTAATGCTAAGGTATTATCCGATGGGCTTGTACGGTAAAAAGTTGGATAACTGTTTCGATCGGACAGAACAAAATCAGTCGCCGAATAGGATACCACAGGAATGCCACTTAGATTGGCAAAATCAGCGATTTGATGCGCTTCTTGCGAGAACACTGGACCAATAATACCAAAAATATCGAAAGAAGAGATCGTTCGACATGTATCTCCAAGGGCTACCATTGTATTTCCATCTGTTGAAGACATTTGCCAAGTAATAAAATATCCTTCGATGGTAATATTATACTGTTGAGAAAGTAAAATAGCTGCTTTGAACATTGCTCGAGAATGAAGAGTGAATTCTGTTATTTCAGAAGCGTTTTCTGCTTTGTCAAATAGACCAAATAACTGAACGCGAGAATTGCTTATCGGTGGCCAGCTTGCCGAAATATTCGTGAAATTACACATGATATGCAGTAAAAACCATGAAATATCCTTACGAGAGCCTTTCATGTCAATGATATGAACTTATAGACTAAACAGGACATTTTTCTTGTGATTTAGAAATATCTTGATTGAAAATGACAAAAAAGAATAAGAAAAGCGAGCGTCTGTTACTATTCTTTCACTTCATCCCAATAGGTTATAAATAATCATATAGGTAATTGTTGCAGAACGGCTTTTTCATCAATGTATTGTTCTTTTTCCTGTTTTTTTCATTAGCAAATAGTATCGTGTCAGTTAGAATTAAAACCGAAATGAATGTGATCTGAAGTTCTGTTTGAAAAAGAAATCTTTGAAAGAAGAAGTATAATTTTTGCCAAAGAAATTTGTGGCGTATCGTATTTATTTACGAAATGAAGACAAACATTCTCATTCAAAGCACAATTGGTTCACTGTTTTTCACGTTTTTCCATATCTTCATTCATGTATTTTATACGCTATGGCAACAGCAACAACTAGTAATTACATCAATGTAATATTGGCAATTTCAGTTGGATCACAACAGTTATAATTGGTTAGCCAAAAACTAACATAATAGGTGTCACCAGCAACTGTATTAAATGTTTGACTCAATGTATCACCGTTTCCAGCGCCAGCGCATCGATCATAATAATACCAATCACCCGATTTAGCATAGGAACTACCATAATAAACTTGTCCGTAATTGAGATTGCATGTGCCGGTAAGACTCCAGGAACTTAAATTACCTGTTTCGAATCCTCCATTAACAATTAACTGCGTTGAGTTGTGATAAACTGTAACATCGTCGATCATCCAACCGCCGGGATCTTGACGAAAGAAAAAAGATAATGTCGCCGATGGTCCTGTTGCTATCCATGTATATGCATAACAAGTGTATATGGGATAAATAGAAGAATTTGGATTGAGAATATACAACAATGTATTACTTGTTGAAGATAGAAAAACGCACTCAGGATTATCTATGTAGAAGATGTTTTTATGAGAAATGAAAGGAGAATTTAAATGAGGTCGAACCTGTTGTATACGAGTTGGTGGTTTCTGATATTTGTGTCGTGTGCGTACTAATCAGCTGTGATGTTTGTGTTGTATTGAGCAATTGAGTTGTTGGAGAATTCGCAGCGTCTAAAGTAACACAATGGAATATTATAAATCCTCAGAATGATGCTTACCAGCGCATATCGACGAAACACAAGTGAGATTTAGATCGGTTCGACACCAGTTGTCATTAATACATCCTTGATTTGAATATCTTTGATTAACACATATAGATCCATTCCAAAATGTGTGTATGATACATTGGCACAAGCCAGATACATTATCACTGTACAAAAATCGATCGTTGGTGCATTTATCACTTGTAAAATTATAGAAATTGTATAGCAAGTGATTTAAAACGACCCAACCAACCTTGGTTGTCGTAGAAGAGGATATAAGTGCGCCTGTATCAGCAGATCCTTCAAAAAGACGACATTGTTGCGAGTTGACGTCATAATCGAACGTGCGGCATTGTATATTCTTGTAGCAAATTAAAGTACAACGAAGAACTGAGGGAATATTGTGAAATACTGCAAGAAGTTCGATTGAATCTGCTGGTTGAAATTGGTTTCCGTATGGACTCAATCCGAATAGAACAGGTTCGAAAGCATTTGATATCCAGATATAATATAAAAAAACAGTTAGGCTCTTCATTATTTAGCAATGAATGCGACTGACGGAAAAAATTGTTTTTTTAGAAGTACAGTGTTCATTTACCTTCAAGAATGAATGAATGTGTTAAAATTGATTCACACTAAAACCATGAAATTTACCTTCGTAGGAACATTATCAGGTTTTCAAGTGAGGCACAAATTTATCAAATAGACTTTCAAGTAACGCTGTCGTTGTTGCAGCAGCGTTCTTTTTTTTTATCGAATCGTTGAAAAAGCACTCGAAAAAAGCTCTATATTTAAAATAAATGTGGTAGCATAATGAAGTGTACATATTTCATTCGAAGTGTGTGTGATAATTGACGGTGCGATTGACACTCAAAACTCATTATGAATATTTTTGTGTTAGATGAAAAGTCATGCACATATTTATTTGAATGGTGCCATACTGAGACGCCTTCAAAAGAATGTTGATGGAAAACGCACAATTTATTGTAGCTTACGGCAATTGAATAAAAATAGATTAAACTCACAATAATGGAGGCTTTCATACTGTTTCTTTTAGCAACTAACATGTGCTGTTTTATCCCATTAAACATACACATATTCTCAACGCGTTTATTTCAATTTGATTCTTGTGATTTTAACGATGCATCCGGTAAAAGAGCAAATCAGTGTCAGACTGCGAAATGCTGCACAAGAAGATGTCTTCATGCCTGTAATTGGGTTAGGTACTGGAGGTTATGGAACACCTAATGGTGTGGGTGGCGAATACTGGGGTCGTGATCAAGGTCATAATGCCACGTTAACGTGGTTAAAAATGGGTGGTCGTCGTATAGACACGTCCGATGATTATGCATCTCGTGATGGTATTGGAACGGGATGGATGGCTAGCGGTATACCTCGCTCGGAAATATTTATCACCTCAAAAGTAGATGTATCTACTTATGATCAAGCATTAGACAATTTTGCTACTATTCTCAAATCATTACAAACGGATTATATCGATCTTCTCCTTATACATTGGCCTGGTCAAATATCCGATAAATCGATGACATCGTTTCGTGATCAACGTATACAGACATGGCGAGCACTGGAAACACTGCTTGAACAGAAACAAGTGAGCATTAAACAAATGTCAGATTTATTTATTTATGAATAAAACTCTCTTTCTATCTCTTTCAGGTACGTGCCATTGGTGTTAGTAATTACCAAGTCAATCATCTGCTTGAAATTTTTAGTTTAAATTCTTTGCTACCAAGTGTCAATCAAGTCTGATTAACATTTATTCATGATTTCTTTAGTTTTTCCTCGGTTTTTAGGTCGAGTTTCATCCTTATTGGCACGAAGATGAACTTCTCGACTTTTGTCAAAAACATAATATCACATTTAATAGTTATTCACCGATTGGTTGTCCTGATCGTAGTAGACTCTTAGGGTCGGATTGGAATCCCATTCCATGTTTACTACGGCATCCTGACGTGATCAAAATTGCAGATAAACATCGAAAGAAGCCAGCTCAAGTAGTGCTTCGTTGGCATTGGCAACAAGGGATTGTAATAAATCCTCGCACAAGTGATGCTGATCAAATGATGGAAAATCTGACGATTTTTGATTTTGAACTTGACAGACAAGATATGATGTTTCTTTCCTATTTGAATCACCCAATGAGTAAAATATGCGGTGATTCGAGACTCATTTTTTAATGCGTCATCACTATGTATTCAAAACGTATTGAATAGAATAAATCACTTACGAGAAACGCAGATTTTTCTTCATGTTTTGGAAGAATTCGTAGAGAAATCATCGCGTTAGAAATGTGAATGACTGTAGTGTACTTTTGCAGTCAGGATGCATGTTTACGTCGTCAATTTTCGTCTTTTAAATTCAATTCCGTTATTTAAATAAAATTGTCCATGATTTTGAATAAACAGTCTATTGTAGTCACAGAAGACAAATATAAACAGTTTTGAGTGAAAAAAAAGTGTGAAAATGCACACAAATGACAAAGAACGCAAGAAAAAGTTCGATATAAAATCAATAATCATTCAACAATAGGCCATTTCACAAAATGAGGTTTAGAAATCTACTCGCAAGTCAATTCTTGATTTGGGCTTTTATTGTGGAAACTGGTATGTATTTCTATACATAATTAATGTTTGAGTATATCTTTTACTGTAAATCCCGTATTGGAAATTCAAATTTCCTTTTCTACTAATAAGCCAAATAATCATCTATGCTGTGCTGACGTTAGAAATAAGTATTATCAATTTTTGACAAATTTGAAAAACTAACGAATATTTTGCATGATTTTTCCATAAACATACGAGCATAACAGTTCCTTTCTTTTCTATTCATCCATACGTTTTTACTTTTAATGGGTCTTTCATTTTGTTGTTTTTCGCCGTCCACTTCAACCGATACTCATATAGAAAAATAGAACAAATAGTAACATACTAAAACGCAATTCCTTCTTTTCAGAGAATAAACACACATAATGAAAAAAATAATATTAAGTGTTTGAGAGTATCGAAAACTTGTAATCACTGGATATCTAAGACAAGACAATGATGACTTACTATTTTCTTCGATCTTTCAGTTTTAACTACGGATATATACTATGTCACCACTCGAAAGAATGGTGGTCGAAATGAAAGTAACGGAGGTACGAATGGCGATACAGAATTGTGGATTCGAGGTGCCGGCTTCATACCTAATGCATTCACTGGATTCTCATCAGCGAACACCGCCTACAAGGTCAAATTAGTGAATAACTACACTGCATATGATTGTGATGTTGACGTCAATGAGATCACTGATACTCGAATGTTATGCTATACAACGGCAATGCCTGAGGGCAAGTATCTGGTTCGGGTTTATGTTAATAACGTCTTGGTGCCATTAGAGAACTATGGTGCGACATTGTATTATGCTTTTTTCAATGTAGCGCAACAGTATACACCGGTAATAACAGGTATTTCAACGGTATCTGGTTTACCACAGAGATTGGTTTCGATAAATGGTAATTTTCGAACGAATTGTTATTCACGCGATACGAATTATTGTGCTCAAGACAAAACTCCAATCATTTCACGGTAAATCAGATACTTCTCATGTAGTTTTTTTCTAAATTTTTATGTTTGACTAGTATTTATATCGGTGATTATATTTGTAACTTGATCGATCCTATTCGTGGAACACTGTAAGTTTCTCTAGTTCATCATGAAAACTGCGTTTACCTATGAAAATTTCAAATTAGTTATGCGAACGTTACAAATACCTCTCTTCAATGTCGTTGCGACAGCAATGTTATTGGTAAAAATGATTCATTTTCCGTTCTTTCTTCGTAACAAACGATTCACATCTTTTATAGGAATATTCAATGTTAGTTTGATCGTTACATATTCTTACGGTCGTTCTTCCATATCGATGAATTTGTACAAACTGTCAGCTACTGGCCAATTGTATACTTTTCAAACTTATCCTAGTAAAAGTCCTTTCGTTGTCAATACATTGCTTTCTACATTGTTTCTACATAGTTATTTCGAATATTTCACCGACTAACGGAAGTCTACAAGGCGGTACAGTCCTAACTATCAACGGACAGTATTTCAGTGATAATAATAATCAATACTTGCTAGCAGTCAATATTGCTGATGCACCTTGCACAATTCTCAGTGTCAATTTGACAACCATTCGATGTCAAACATCACAAATGTTCAACACTAATCGTTCTTATTATCACGGTAGTTTTATCTAGGAAAAAATCCATACAATACTCTGTTGTGATTGTGTAGGTGGCCGTGGCTTTCATATGTACTCCGAGAATATATTCATCGATTTAGTATGTGATTATTATGTTCATTGTCTTTGTCTTCTACGTACTGTTTTAGGATCGCTTGGGTAATTCCACTCCTCCGATGCCTGGTGTAAATGCAAATAGAACATGGGTAGAGGGGGCATCGTTCTCTGCTGCGAATGTTTCCAATACTACTGTGTGGTTCATTGGATATTTACGTCCGCCCAAGACTGCGTTTTTTATATTTCAATTGGATACGAATGTTGGTAGTGTTTTGTTTTGGAGTAAGGATGAAACTCCGAATAATACCGTTCAAATTGCCAGCAGAAATGCGAGCGTATCACGGAAAATCTGTTTAAATAACAATACGAAGTAAATGAAAGATATATTCATATATTCGTACACAACTTTTGATATTCCAGTTATTATTTGACATGCGTCGGATCAATAAACCAACGAGGTGTTTTTCGTTTATCTATCAAAGTGAAAATGTATGAAGAAAATACAGTCATCGGAAATGGAGATTCAGGAATAGTCGAAATCCAACGGATTAGTTATAATAGTTCGGATATCCGAGAACAACAAGTAAATTCGTTTCTTCGTGCATATTGTAGCGATCTATTTGTCTTTTGTAGAGAATCGTCTATACGATCAATTCATCCGTCACTGCCGTATCCGAAGTGCAAAAGGTAGTTTTCCAATCCACATCATTTCAACTTGGTTTCCGAGGGGTTTATACAAGTAATTTTGTTCATGTCAATTAATACATATGTATGTTTCTATGTAACGTTTAGTCGAAATACCATTGTATGCTGATAAGGACGATGTTGCCAAAGCTTTAAATGATTTACCAACAGTTTATCCACTAGCGGTTAATGTAACTTTAGATACCAACTCATACGTAGTCACGTTTCCGCAACAGATGGGTGATGTTCCACTATTGACAATCATCTCATCAAGTAACAGCAGTCGACGAAATGTAACAGAAGTTACGAAAGGTGTACCATCTGGTTCTTATATTGCTTTGGAATTAGACGGCGCAGTCACACAGTATTTGGATTTTTCAAACAGATCTGTGACCAATCAAATGCTTGTCAATGAATTCAAGCAGCTATTTACCATTCGTTGTCCACCCTCACTCTATGATCAAAGCGTAGATCCAGATATCATCATTGCAAATGATTTTGAAAGCAACCTTTCTCCATACGATGACACATTCAACGTTAGAGAAAGCGCATTTTGTGGTCGCGGTGCAACTACAGTTACTAATGTTGAGGCAAGTTTAGTCACGGGTAATTCAGATCAGTCTGCTGAATACATCTGTTTTGCATACAAACTTCCTCAAGGAAAGTCAAATATTACAATGTATTTTAAAGTCGAAAGTGATCGCGATTTCGATTCATCGATCACCGAAACATTGTCAATACCTCGATCACTCATTTCCGACAACTATTGGCATTACACATGTATTGCATTACGAGACACAATTCAAAGATATTTCCCTTACTTTTTGTATGCTAACTATATCATCGTTCAAGATGTTTTTCTCGATTCGGATTCCCAAGATGTCATGTTCGACACAGTTACATTAAGAAAAACTATTCCCAATGGATATGAAAATGAGGCTAAAATTATGTCCAGTGATCAATCAGCATCAAATGCCTGCACTTTCCCGTTCAAGTACAACGGTGAAAGTTATTCTCGATGTATTATTATCAACGAAGAAAATCTTCCGGTTTGTTTATCATCGACGAATCAAACATATTACTGTCAAAGTTCGTCAATCGAAGGCGTTCGACGATTTTATCCAAAATATCAACTTTTATACAATTCTCTCCAAATAAGACATACGCCACTGAATCGTACAATTGATATTTCATTTCAATACACAACGTGCCGTTCACCAACATTGATTAAAGCATTGCCTGCCATCGTAAGTGCTCGATGTTCCTGAAGATAATTCTATTTTTTTTTATCATTTAGTACACCAATGTAACATCTTTCAGCAAAACATCTGAACCACTTGAGGGCACATATGACATTCAATTCGACGGAGAAACCTATGCATCAGTCCCAGTGAAATTAACTGCTGTTCAAATGGCAGATCTTTTTCAATCATTTGATAAGATCGGCTATGTATCAGTGAATCGTGCAGGTATATGTCCATCTTATTCGTATAATATAAGTTGGTTTGCAAAGCGACAACAACCACGAATAACAATTGTCAATACAACAAATGTACGACCGATAGGTTTATCAATTCGTTCGTCGTCAGTGCAAGTTGGCAACGACGGGAATATTTTTTACGATCTTCCAAATGACATGATGCGAACATGTCATGATACACCACAAGTAGATATCGAATTTACTATTTTTAGTGATCTACTTCACCAAGTATCTTTAGGTTGAAGTTCTTGTTAATGGCTTTGCATCGTATTGTTCAAATCTAAATAACAGCTGTCAGTTCCAAGTTTTGATGACGCAAACACCAATGATTATATCAATAGAACAAAACGGAACGCATTTAGTCATTTTAGGTGATGGATTTAGTTCATCAAAAGAAGAAAACAAAGTATTGATTGGCAAACAAGGTTCATGTAATGTCACCGATGCTAATCAAACGTATATTATTTGTGAAATTAACTATGCACCACCGGGTTCACAGATTGTGCGAGTTAATGTTATTAATAAAGGTTTTGCATCAAGCAATACTACTCTCACAGTTAATGTCCCTCTAGCTATTCATTCGTTTGATCCACCAGCAGGAGGAATTGGCGGAGGTTATTCATTAAGAATTGATGGTAATGGCTTTTCACCGAACACGACTATTACTGTGGACGGAAAGTTGTGTATTAACTCTCAATTGATGAATTTCTCGTCGATTCGCTGTATTGTACCTCCTTCTACGTCATACAATGATCACCAGGTTATTCTATCTGCTGTTGATGGACAAATGTTGGTCAATGCATCAACACTATTTACATATAATTCAACTAATCAACCTTTTATTATGTCTATCCAACCATCTGTTGTTACAATGGCCGGTGGGAGAGTGAATATAAATGGCTCAGGCTTTGGAAATCAATCCTTCTCGGTGTACGTGGGTTCCAAGAGTGCTACCATTGTATCGTCGTACATGAATTTGATTCAAATCGATTTACCGCAGTTACCACCCGGCCTTTATCCCATTATCATTAGTACGTCAACAGGCCTCGTTCAATCTCCTACTCCTATCGAATATCGATTTTATATCCAACAAATTAAACCTTCGATTAATTCATTATATGGCGGCAGTGATGTTTATATCGACGGTGTTGATTTCCCTAACTGGACATCGGTTCAATTTCGTAACGAAAACAATCGTCTTCTTTCATGCGACATCATTTCTCTGCAATCCAATCAAATACATTGTCAAGCACCATCTTTTGTCCAACAAGTAACGATCACAGCTGATGGTGTTCATCCATCATATGGTCCTGGTTTTGCTTGGTCACCTCAACGACAAACAGTACAGCAAGGTGCCATTGTTACCTGGAAATGGGATTCGTCAGTGAGCCTTGTGACACGTCAATATAGAATTCAGCAAGTAGCCAACGTTTATAGTACAGATCCAGTTATCAATGGCTTTGATTCTGGTAGCGCAACTTCTTCAGGTAAACACCATTTAGTACAATGTCTGTGTGCATATATGTATGTATTGCAGGTACATTTTCCTATCAATTCAATTCGTTAGGTACTTACTATTATTGGTCACCATCGATTACACCGTATCGAGATATATCCATTCGTGGCATCATCGACGTTATTCCATCGGAATCAGACGTATGGATGGTTGAAGTAGTTTCAAACGGAAGCAACGGTATGATACGCTGTTCTTCTATGAATGAACTAACTTGTTTCCTATCTAGCTCAAGCATGTGTCTTTCCATTTACATATGATTCGATGACTTATACAAACTGCACTTTGGAAAATGATACTCAGCCATGGTGTTCTCCAACATCAATATACACAGGCCAACGTCTCTATTGTAAACCAGCAGGTATGTTTGACAACAAACTATTAAAATTCTAAATGTAGACCTAACGATCGACTTAGTTTCTGTATCATCGAATGCATCATGTACATCGAATATTTTCGACGAAAATCTATGCAATCAAACATCAGCATCATCTCTCGGACCATCACAGATCCTAGTTAGCCAATGTACATCGGACACTATTCTTTCGATCTCACCTACCAATGGTATTATTGGAACTTTGTTGACAATAACAGGTACTGTTGATCTTTCATCACCTTATCCACGTGATAAGCAATGAACTATATTTAGGAACGAACTTTTCTGGAAATATGTGTGAATATGATATTCAAATAGGCACATCTTATCATTGTCCGATTGTAAATATGACATCAACTGAACTTATCTGTCAAACAACATCTGGTTCAATGCTGAATGGTACCGTTGCTTATACTGTTCGCGTAGCTCGTCGTGGTTACGGTTATTTGAACAGTCAAAGTCAATTACGGTTCATATTTGAGGCATCAATATTAAACATTACTCCCATGATTGGTAAACACTTCTTTTCTTATGTCAAATTTCATCATAGCACTGCTTTTGATCATTGATAGGTTCGATCTATGGTGGCACCGAAGTAACAATTGAAGGTGTCGGATTCATTCCAGGATCCACACGTTTATTTATTGGTACTACTGAATATACGAACGTTACAAATGTATCTTACTCGAAAATTGTATTCAAAACTTTACTACGACCATTATATGTCAATTATAATTACACCGTCAATGTGACAGTTCGTGATACTCGCATTCTGTGTTCAATGCCATCGTGTGTTTTCTCTTGGTCAACAAGTGTAACACCGTATCTTGATTCAGTGACTCCACAAGTCATTAATAGCTCGACAAATCTTACCTTTACTGGTCGAAATTTGCTCACTCGTAACGATACCACAGACATACATGCACGTGTGTATATAAATAACAATATTTGCAATGTTAGCCAAATGACAAATGATTCGTTAGTTTGTTCAATCGCTGGTGTAGAGATGGGTGTTTATCAAGTTACAGCATTCATCGATGGTTAGTAATCCTAAGTTGCATTGAACATGTACCAAATAATCTTAATTTAGGTATTGGACAAGTCATCTCTTCTCTCAATATCACATCACTAGGCATCCTATCCAGCTTATCACCGTCTACGACTGGTATCTACGGTGGCGCTCAAATGAGCATCTTTGGTAATGGATTTTCTAACGCGATTGAAAATATTCAAGTAATAATTGGTGAAAATTCATGCCGTGTTGTTCGAGCAACAGTAAACGAAATTCGATGTATCATTCCTGCTCAAGGCAACAGTTCGGATCAGGCTAACGTCACAGTTATCACGAATAACATCACTTTAGACTCGTCACTTCTGTTTAGCTACAATAATTCACTAACACCGATGGTCACATCTATAAATTCAACTTCGGACAATAGTTCAACTGCACTTACAATCAATGGGGATCATTTCATAGTTGGAAACACGACTGTATTTGTTGGAAATCTCCCCTGTACTATTACAAACATGTCTGTTATGTCTATCCTATGCACAGTTAGTCCATATCAATCAGCTGGACATCATCCAGTAGTTGTCTATGTGATTGATAACGGTATGTCTAACTCTGATCGTTACTACACTTATGACCTCCGTGTGAACCGTATATCACCTACGGAAGGAGGCTACGGCAGTAGTCTTTTAATTGTCATCGAAGGTGATGGATTCAACAGTACGAACATAAACGTTCGTATGTGTAATCGACCATGTTTATCAGTACGAATTTCATCGAATACTCGAATGGTCTGTGAAACGCCTGATATATTAATGAATGAAACAACATATTCCTGTAATTTAACTGTAACTGTGGATGATATGAGTCAAAGTCAAATGTTTACTTATGCAGCAAATCTAACAGCAAGAATAAGATCAATTAGTCCACAGCGAGGAGGAACCGGTGGTGGTACGATAGTTACTATCAATGGTACTAACTTTCCGTGAGTTACTCGTGTAAATCATTCTTCCAATATGTATTCCGTATTTTGTTTACAGGTATTCGTCGAATGAGACCAGAGTGACTATTGATGATGCAAATTGTTCTGTAGTATCAGTTAATTCAACAAGTATCACATGTGAAACAGGTTTTCATTTACGAACGAATCTAAATGCAGCTGTGCGCGTCTATTTCGGTGGTAGTACTTCTGCTATCAGCGATGTTACATTCGCCTACATAGACTTATGGTCAAGTCCATGGACATGGGGTGGCGATGTTCCACCAGAAGCCGACACGATTGTATCAATCGAAAATGGCACTACAGTCTATTTAGATATTTCAACACCCATACTGAAAGCATTAGTGATCGATAATGCTACATTGATTTTTGACGAAAAAGATATTAGATTGAATGCAGAATATATCATCATTGTAAATGGTGGGCGTTTACAAATCGGCACTGAAACAGAACCATTTCAACATCGTGCTATTATCACGATGTATGGAAATTTACGAGCGACTCAATTACCTATTTGTAAGTATTGAGTTTCTATTTCTCGTACGTTGTTTTGATTATTTCGAGCGTGTGTAGTTGGTGCGAAAGTATTAGCCGTACGTCACGGCATACTCGATATGCATGGGCAGACGACAACCACAACGTGGACAAAATTAGACATGACAGCTGAAAGTGGTTCATCGATAATTACTCTTCAACATTCAGTTAACTGGACAATCGATAGTCAAATAATCATTGCTACTACTGGTGATTTTGCCAGTCAAAATGAGAGCGAAGTTCGTCGAGTAACAAATATTTCATCGGATGGACGGACGCTAACACTCGATAGACCATTAGACTTTACCCATTTGGGCGTTGTTCTTCAGTTCAATGCAACAACTATCGAAGTTCGTGCTGAAGTTGGACTTCTATCGCATAACANAACAACTTGTTGATCGATTCTGGCAAGTGAACTTATCTCTAACAAGCGATAATGATCCGGATTTGAAAATCCTCTCGGATTACATGAAAAAAGAACTGGGCGAAGGTACTCCACTCAGTAAACTTGGTCACTTAATGATTAAAATGGGCGAATTTAATCACGCTCATGAAATATATGATGCACAACTTGCTTCTGTAGATGAAGGTAATTGGCGCAGACAAGCGCATCTTAACCATCAACTTGGGTATGTGTTCGCTGAAAAGGGCGACTATCAGAAAGCATTGGAATACTATCAAAGAGCTCTTAAAAGCGAATTAGAGTTCGTGCCATCAGATGACTCATCACTGGCAACAACCTATAATAATCTTGCCGGTGTTTATGAATCGCTAGGTGACTATACATCTGCGCTGACCGAATATCAAAAAGCGTTAGAAATACAAAAGAAATCTCTTCCTTCTGATGATCCTGCACTCGCTACCACGTATGGTAATATTGGTCTAATTTACAGAACATTAGCGGACTTCAGCAAAGCGCTTTTATTCTATGAAACAGCACTAGATATTCGCCGAAAGCGAGTACCACCAAATCATCCTGATTTTGGAACAATGTATGGTAACATTAGCGGAATATACAAAGATATGGGAAACTATTCCGAGGCGTTAAATTATTCTAAGAAGGCGCTTGATATCCGAGAAAGGTCTCTTCCTCCAAAGCATCCAGATCTAGCGTCAAGCTATGCTAACTTTGGCTCGGTCTACAGTTCGATGCGAAATTATCAACAAGCGTTAGAGTACTACCAAAAAGCACAACAAATCCAAACTGTATCGTTGCCCGCCAACCATCCTGACATTGCCACTACCTACAACTGTATCGGATCAGTACATGATTCAATGGAAAACTATTCCGAAGCGTTATCATGTTTCGAAAAAGCTTTGGAAATTCAGAAGCAGACTTTACCAGAAAATCATCCAAGTATTGCTAATACTTACAATCATTTCGGATCTGTGTATTATTCCATGAATAATAAATCAGCTGCATTATCAAGCTACCAAAAATCGCTAGAGATTGAAGAAATGACATTACCTTCAAATCATCCATCCCTGGTTACTTCGCACAACAACATTGGATCGGTTTATCAGCTGATGAAGGACTACACAGCAGCGCTGTCTTCGTACGAGAAAGCACTTGAAATCTGTCAGAAAACTGAACAATTAACTCAATCAGATAAAATGGTGACAACTTATAACAAACTCGGATCGGTGTACAATGTCATGAAAAAGTATTCCGAAGCGTTATCGTATTTTGAAAAAGCATTGGAAACACTAAAGAAATCGTTGTCTCAAAACGATCGTAGTTTATCGGTTACATATAACAACATGGGTATAACTTATTCTGCGCTAAAAGACTACGAGAAAGCGCTCTCGTGTTATTCTAAAACACTAGAAATCGAGCGGAAAACTCTTCCAGAGGACCATAAAGATATGGCAACTTCCTATAGTAACATCGGTATAGCTTACAACGAAATGAAGAACTATCCAAAAGCTTTAGAATATCACGAAAAAGCACGTGCCATTCGTGAGAACAAGTTGTCTACCGGCAGTCTCGTACTTGCTTCCACTTATAGTAACATCGCTTCAGTGTATTTCAGCATGACGGACTATCCTAAAGCCATTTTGTTTTATCAAAAGGCTGCTACGGTTCTTGGAAATTCTTCCTCAAGTGACGAACTTGATCTAGCAACCAATTATAATAACATTGGCATTGCCTACAGCCGCATCGATGATAAAACAAATGCCCTTCAGTACTATCAAAAATCACTGGAAATTCGAGAGAAAAAACTTCCAGCAAATGATCCAACACTTGCCTCAACCTACAATAACATCGCGTCCGTGTATTTTGACATGAAGGAGTATCCTAAAGGCATTTCGTTTTATCAGAAGGCTGCGGCGGTTCGTGAAAATTCTTCCTCAAGTGACGAACTTGATCTAGCAACCAATTACAATAACATTGGCATCGCCTACAGCCGCATCGATGATAAAACAAATGCTCTTCAGTACTATCAAAAATCATTGGATATCCGAGAGAAAAAACTTCCAGCAAATGATCCAACACTTGCCTCAACCTACAATAACATCGCGTCCGTGTATTTCAGCATGACGGACTATCCTAAAGCCATTTCGTTTTATCAGAAGGCTGCGGCGGTTCGTGAAAATTCTCCCTCAAGTGACGAACTTGATCTAGCAACCAATTACAATAACATTGGTATCGCCTACAGTCGCATCGATGATAAAACAAATGCCCTTCAGTACTATCAAAAATCGCTAGCGATTCGAGAAAAGAAACTACCACCAAATGATCCTGTATTGGCTGCACTTTATCAAAATATTGCAGCAATACATTCATCAACAGATAACAATTCAGCTGCTGTTGATTTCTACGAAAAGTCACTCAAAATTCGAGAATCATTGCCGTCTCCTGACCATCAGTCAATGGCGACCACCTATTATAATACAGCGATGATTTATTTTAAACTCAAAGACTATGCAGCAGCGGTCAGACATGCAGAAAAATCTGTTAGCAGCGCTCGTCTAGGCTATGGTCCCGATCATGCCGAAGTAGCAGAAAATCAAGCTCTAGTGGACAGAATCCGTCGCTTACTATAAAACACAGAGATAGTCGCATCATATACATAGGAGACACTTACATCACTAATCAAGAACTTTATTTTCTATAAAATAATTTCTACATAGGAATTTACGATCCAGGAGGTGAAGATAATGTTGAAGTTTGATTCTTAATTGAAAAATTTACGATATAAGTTTCTGTTCTACGTAATAGTATTTTGCGAGCTAGCATATCCGGCAAATAATTCTGCACAGTATCTCGATTGTACCACACGAATACTCCCAATGACATAACACAGATAATAGCAAATGTAAGAAATAGGCCACTTAATGACTCAAGCCCTAAGGCGGTTGACGGTTCATTAGCTGTTGGACATAGCTTCGCTTCAAACCATTTTTTCTTCAAATTATCAAGAATGCCTGTCTCTCTTAGTGATAAAATGTTGACATCAAGATCTTTCGCATACAGCCACTGTTTTGGTGTAACTATACCAAATGCACTTTTATCAAAATCCTCCCCGATTAATGTTAAATTACAATAAATATTATTTGTTACGTATTCAGCGGTGCCAGAATCCATGAATGATGCATCGATAAGTCCAGCGAGTAGAGCATCATACATTTCTTGTCGAGATTTCAAAGAATAAAAATTTCGATTGCCACCGGAGATTTCGCGTAAATAATAATCTTCACCTGCAGTGCCAACGCGAATACCTATCCGGTTGTATGGGATCTTGCCATTTTTCATATCGTCGATTCCATCGATTAAATCTTTTGTTTTCAAAATCGTTAAATCCGATGCTAAATTAGCAGTATACGATGCAACCAGAACTAAACTCAACATATACAATCCGACACTGATTAAGCGTCCAGCTGCCGTCTGAGCGTGAAAGTCGGCACCATATCCGACGAGAGTTCCAAATGCAAACCACAAACTCATAGCACCGGATGAGATGATCGAACGATTCTGTAGTGCTTCATTGTCTTTTCGTTCGAATATGCAAAGAATGATACTGGCAAAAACCATGGCAGTTAACACTAACAACCATAAATTTGGTGAAAATGGTTTCAAATAGGACAAGAGATCAACGGGAACAGTCGCTGTTTTACGTATAAGTATGCGCATGGAATTATCCGAAATGGAATTAGAAAATGCTGCGAGTTCTCTTCGTGCACTAGTTACTGTGATGTCACCTACGGCTATGTCATAATCGCCATTGGCTACTGCTTGAACTAATCCCGAATAGCTTAAACTCGATGGTACTAATTGTACATCTGCAACAAATCCCATACGATCACGTAGATATTCAAGTAAATCCGGTACATAGCCTGTTATTTTCGTTACATTTTGTCCAGATGAGTCTACTACATTAGTGACTATCGTAAATGGAATCGATTCAATCACGCCAATTCGTAGAGTGACACCTGCGAGCATAGCTCGACCCGTGGAAGGATTTAAAGAATTTCCGGGCCAAATGATGACCTGCGTCTTTGAGTATGTTTTCCAGCCATTCGATGTATCATATTTTAACACAGGAGTAAAACTGATATGATCAGAAGTATACTGAACGTTCTGAACATAATAGTATGATCCATTAGATCGATCTGTGACGTTCATATCGAACTGAATCAAACCTGAAACACCCAGAAAATGTAGTAAATTCATTGTTTTTAACAATGAATGTGAATAAACTAAACGGCGATCGAAACAAAAGGATGGTCCGTCATAAGATAAGCATGATGACGAGCTACTCTCGATCGAAGAACAAAATTCTTGTAAGGCTTGAATTAGAGCCCATGTCGCGTCGAAAGCAAATAGTGCATAAGGACTGACTCTTGTCGTTACTGGAAATGATTCAGGGTCATACTTTTTCCAAACTTGATAAGCAGCGCTCAACAGCGTTGTATTAACCGGTGCATCAACAATCGAGCCGGTGACAGGCTCAACTGTGAGGATTCCAATCAATTTCGAATGATAAATTTGATTGAACGAATCCAACGAGATACTTGAAGTTAATATCCACGTAAAATGTGGGCCAACAACATCGGCCTGAAGAGCAGATCGAAGAATCTGTTCGATATAAGTGAGCACACTCCAAAGAATTACAATGCGTGATGCACTATTGGACAGAGAACTTTTCAAATTTCCTTGTATTGAAAGTGTAACAACGTCGAAAACGATAAGATTCGTTATTTCAATATTGTATTTGAGAAACGTTTCGCTCAGAATCTTTGTGCCACCAACACCGTATGCATCATTTTGATAAATAATGATACACGATGTCCAGTTGTACCGAATGAATAACGTTGCAAGTGCCAATGCTAAGGTATTATCCGATGGACTTGTACGGTAAAAAGTTGGATAATTGTTTCGATCGGACAGAGCAAAATCAGTCGCCGAATAGGATACCACAGGAATGCCACTTAGATTGGCAAAATCAGCGATTTGATGTGCTTCTTGCGAGAACACTGGGCCAACAATACCAAAAATATCGGAAGAAGACATCGCTCGACATGTATCGCCAAGGGCTACCATTGTATTTCCATCGGTTGAAGACATTTGCCAAGTAATAAAATGTCCTGCGATGGTAATATTATACTGTTGAGAAAGTAAAATAGCTGCTTTGAACATTGCTCGAGAATGAAGAGTGAATTCTGTTATTTCAGAAGCGTTTTCTGCTTTGTCAAACAGACCAAATAATTGAACGCGAGAATTGCTTATCGATGGCCAGCTTGCCGAAATATTCGTGAAATTACACATGATATGCAGTAAAAACCATGAAATGTCCTTACGAGAGTTTTTCATGTCAACGGTATGAACTTATAAACTAAACAGGACATTTTTCTTGTGATTTAGAAATATCTCGATTAAAAATGACAAAAAAAAGAACAAGAAAAGCGAGCGTCTTTTGCTATTCTTTTCCTTCATCCCAATATGTTATAAATAATCATCAAGGTAATTTTTGTGAAACGGCTTTTTTCATCATTGTATTGTTCTTTTTCCTGCTTTTTTTTTCATTAGCAAATAGTATCGTGTCAATTAGAATTAAAACCGCAATGAACGTGATTTGAAGTTCTGTTTGAAAAAGAAATCTTTGAAAGAAAAAGTCTAAATTTTTGGCAAAGAAATGTGTGGCGTATCGTATTTATTTACGAAAAAAAGACAAACATTCTCATTCAAAGCACAAATGGTTTACTGTTTTTCACTTTTTTCCATGTCTTCATTCATGTATTTTATTCACTACCACAACAACTAGTAATTACATCAATGTAATATTGGCAATTTCAGTTGTATTGCAACAGTCATAATTGGTTAGCCAAAAACTAACATAATAGGTGTCACCAGCGACTGTATTAAATGTTTGACTCAATGTATCACCATTTCCAGCTCCAGCGCATCGATCATAATAATACCAATTACCCGATTTAGCGTAGGTACTGCCATAATAAACTTGTCCGTAATTGAGATTGCATGTGCCGGTAAGACTCCAGGCACTTAAATTACCTGTTTCGAATCCTCCATTAACAATTAACTGTGTTGAGTTGTGATACACTGTAACGTCGTCGATCATCCAACCACCCGGATCATGACGAAAGAAAAAAGATAATGTCGCCGATGGACCTGTTGCTATCCATGTATATGCATAACAAGTGTATACAGGATAAATAGAAGAATTTGGATTGAGAATATACAACAATGTATTACTTGTTGAAGATAGAAAAACGCACTGAGGATTATCTATGTAGAAGATGCTTTTATGTGAAATGAAAGGCGAATTTTAATGAGGTCGAACCTGTTGTATACGAGTCAGTGGTTGCTAATATCTGTGTCGTGTGCATACTAGTCAGCTGTGACGTTTGTGTTGTATTGAGTAATTGAGTTGTTGGAGAATTCGCAGCATCTAAAGTATAGTACAATAAAATGTTATAAATCCTCCGAATGATGCTTACCAGTGCACATCGATGAAACACAGGTAAGATTTAGATCGGTTCGACACCAGTTGTCATTAATACATCCTTGATTTGAATATCGTTGATTAACACATATAGATCCATTCCAAAATGTGTGTATGACACATTGGCACAAACCAGATACATTATCACTGTACAAAAATCGATCGTTGGTGCATTTATCACTTGTAAAATTATAGAAATTGTATAACAAGTGATTTAAAACGACCCAACCAACCTTGGTTGTCGCAGAAGAGGATATAAGTGCGCCTGTATCAGCAGATCCTTCAAAAAGACGACATTGTTGCGAGTTGACGTCATAATCGAACGTGAGGCATTGTATATTCTTGTAGCAAATTAAAGTACAACGAAGAACTGAGGAAATATTGTGAAATGCTGCAAGAAGTTCGATTGAATCTGCTGGTTGAAATTGGTTTCCATACGGACTCAAGTCGAATAGAACAGGTTCGAAAGCCTTTGATATCCAGATAAAATATAGAAAAATAGTTAGACTCTTCATTATTTGCCAATGAATACGACTAACGGAAAAATTGTTTTTTTTTAAAAGTACAATGTTCATTTATCTTCAAGAAAGAATGAATGTGTTAAATTGATTCACACTAAGACCATGAAATTTATCTTTGTAGGAACATTATCAGGTTTTCAAGTGAGGCGCAAATTTATCGAATAGACTTTCAAGTGACGCTGCTGTTGTTGCAGCAGCGTTCTTTTTTTTATCGAATCGTTGAAAAGGCACTTAAAAAAAGTTCTACATTTAAAATAAATGTGACAGCATAATGGAGTGTACATCTTTCGTTCGAAGTGTGTGTGATAATTGACGGTGCGATTGACACTAAAAACTCATTATGGATATTTTTGTGTCGGATGAAAAGTCATGCACAGATTTATTTGGATCGTGACATACTGAGATATCTTCAAAAGAATGTCGATGGAAAATGTATTATTTATTGTAGCTTACGGCAGTTGAATGAAAATAGATTAAACTCACAATAATGGAGGCTTTCATACTGTTTCTTTTAGCAACTAACATGTGCTGTTTTATCCCATTATACACACACATATTCTCAACGCGTTTATTTCAATTTAATTCTTGTGATTTTAACGATGCATCCCGTAAAAGAGCAAATCAGTGTCAGGCTGCGAAATGCTGCGCAACAAGATGTCTTCATGCCTGTAGTTGGGTTAGGTACTGGAGGTTATGGAACACCTAATGGTGTGGGTGGCGAATACTGGGGACGTGATCAAGGTCATAATGCCACGTTAACGTGGTTAAAAATGGGTGGTCGTCGTATAGACACGTCCGATGATTATGCATCTCGTGATGGTATTGGAACGGGATGGATCGCTAGCGGTATACCTCGCTCGGAAATATTTATCACCTCAAAAGTGGATGTATCTACTTATGATCAAGCATTAGACAATTTTGCTACTATTCTCAAATCATTACAAACGGATTATATCGATCTTCTCCTTATACATTGGCCTGGTCAAATATTCGATAAATCGATGACATCGTTTCGTGATCAACGTATACAGACATGGCGAGCATTGGAAACAATGCTTGAACGGAAACAAGTGAGGATTAGACAAGTGTAATATTTATTTATCTATGAATAAAACTCTCTCTCTCTTCCAGGTACGTGCCATTGGTGTCAGTAATTATCAAGTCAATCATCTGCTTGAAATTTTTAGTTTAAATTCTTTGCTACCAAGTGTCAATCAAGTCTGATTAACATTTATTCATGATTTCTGTAGCTTTTCCTCGATTTTTAGGTCGAGTTTCATCCTTATTGGCACGAAGATGAACTTCTTGACTTTTGTCAAAAACATAATATCACATTTAACAGTTATTCACCGATTGGTTGTCCTGATCGTGGCAGACTCTTAGGGTCGGATTGGAATCCCATCCCATGTTTACTACAACATCCTGGCGTGATCGAAATTGCTGATAAACATCGGAAGAAGCCAGCTCAAGTGGTGCTTCGTTGGCATTGGCAACAAGGAATTGTAATAAATCCTCGCACAAGTGATGCTGATCAAATGATGGAAAATCTGACGATTTTTGATTTTGAACTTGACAGACAAGATATGATGTTTCTTTCCTATTTGAATCATCCGATGAGTAAAATATGCGGTGACTCGAGACTCATTTTTTAATGAGTCATCACTATGTATTCAAAACGTATTGAATAGAAGAAATCACTTGAGAGAAACGCAGCTTTTTCTTCATGTTTTGGAAGAATTCGTAGAGAAACCATCGCGTTAGAAATGTGAATGGCAGAGATGTATTTTTGCAGGCATGACGTATGTTTACGTTGTCAATTTTCGTCTTTTCAATTCAGTTCCGTTATTTAAATAAAACTGTCGATGATTTTAAGTGAACGAGCTATTGTAGTCACAGAAGACAAATGAAAACAGTTTTGAGTGGAAAAAAAAACGTCCGAAAATTCATACAAACGACAAAGAACGCAAAAACAGTTCGATATAAAATCAATGATCATTCAACAATAGGCCATTTCACAAAATGAGGTTTAGAAATCTACTCGCAAGTCAATTCTTGATTTGGGCTCTTATTGTCAAAACTGGTATGTAGTTCTATACATAATTAATGTTCGAGTATATCTTTTACTGTAAATCCCGTATTGGAAATTCAAATTTCATTTTCTACTAATAAGCCAAAACATCATCTATGCTGTGCTGACGTTGGAAATAACTATTATCAGTTTTTGAGAAATTTGAAAAAACTAACGAATATTTTGCATGATTTTTCATAAACATGCGAACATAACACTTCCTTTCTTTTCTATTTATCCATGCGTTTTTACTTTTAATGGGTCTTCCATTTTGTTGCTTTTTGCCGTCCACTTCAACCAGAAGAATAGAATAAACAGTAACATACTAAAGCGCAATTCCTTCTTTTCCAAGAATAAGCACACATAATGAAAACAAATAATATCAATTGTTTGATAGTATCGAAGACTTGTAATCACCGAATATCTAAGACAAGACAATGATGATTTACTATTTTCTTCGATCTTTCAGTTTTAACTACGGATATATACTACGTCACCACTCGAAAGAATGGTGGTCGAAATGAAAGTAACGTAGGTACGAATGGCGACACAGAATTGTGGATTCGAGGTGCCGGCTTCGTACCTAATGCATTCACTGGATTATCATCCGCGAACAAGACCTACGAGGTCAAATTAGTGAATAACTACACTGCATATGATTGTGATGTTGCCGTCAATGAGATCACTGATACTCGAATATTATGCTATACAACGGCAATGCCTGAGGACAGGTATTTGGTTCGGGTTTATGTTAATAACGTCTTGGTGCCATTGGAGAACTATGGTGCGACATTGTATTACGCTTTTGTCAATGTAGCGCAACAGTATACACCGATGATAACAGGTATCTCGATGGCATCTGGTTTACCACAAAGTTTGATTTCGATAAATGGTAATTTTCGAACGAATTGTTATTCACGTGATACGGATTATTGTGCTCAAGACAAAACTCCAATCATTTCACGGTAAATCAGATGCTTCTGATGTAGTTTTTTGGGTTTTTTAAAATTTCTATGTTTGTGTAGTATTTATATCGGTGATTATATTTGTAACTTGGTCGATCCTATTCGTGGAACCCTGTAAGTTTCTCTAGTTCATTATGAAAACTGCATTTACCTATGAAAATTTCAATTAGTTATGCGAACGTTACAAACACCTCTCTTCAATGCCGTTTCGACAGCAATGTTATTGGTAAAAATGATTCATTTCACGTTCTTTCTTCGTAACAAACGATTCACATCTTTTATAGGAATATTCAATGTTAGTTTGATCGTTACATATTCTTATGGTCGTTCTTCTACATCGATGAGTCTGTACAAACTGTCAGCTACTGGCCAGTTGTATACTTTTCAAACTTATCCTAGTAAAAGTCCTTCCATTGTCAATACATTGCTTTCTACATTGTTTCTACATAGCTATTTCGAATATTTCGCCGACTAACGGAAGTCTACAAGGCGGTACAGTCCTAACTATCAATGGGCAGTATTTCAGTAATAACAATCAACACCTGCTAGCAGTCAATATTGCTGATGCACCTTGCACAATTCTCAGTATCAATTTGACAACCATTCGATGTCAAACATCACAAATGTTCAACACTAATCGTTCTTATTATCACGGTAGTTTTATTTAGAAAAAAATGCATGTAATACTCTGTTGTAATTGTTTAGGTGGCCGTGGCTTTCATATGTACTCCGAGAATATATTTATTGATTTAGTACGTGATTATTATGTTTACTGTCATTGTCTTCTATGTACTGTTTTAGGATCGCTTGGGAAATTCCACTCCTCCAATGCCTGGTGTAAACGCAAATAGAACATGGGTAGAGGGGGCGTCGTTCTCTGCTGCGAACGCTTCCAATACTACTGTATGGTTCATTGGATATTTACGTCCGCCCAAGACTGCGTGCTTTATATTTCAATTGGATACGAATGTTGGTAGTGTTTTGTTTCTGAGTACGGATGAAACTCCAAATAATGCCAGTCAAATTGCCAGCAGAAATGCGAGCCGATCAAAGAAAATCCGTTTAAATAATAACACGAAGTAAATGAAAGACATATTCATATATTCGTACACAATTTTTGATATTCCAGTTATTATCTGATATGCATCGGATCAATAAGCCAACGAGGCGTTTTCCGTTTATCTATCAAAGTGAAAATGTATGAAGAAAATACAGCCATCGGAAATGGAGATTCAGGAATAGTCGAAGTTCAACGGATTAGTTATAATAGTTCGGATATCCGAGAACAACAAGTAAATTCGTTTCTTCGTGCATATTGTAGCGGTCTATTTGTCTTTTGTAGAGAATCGCCTATACGATCAATTCATCCGCCACCGCCGTATCCGAAGTGCAAAAAGTAGTTTTTCAATCCGCATCATTTCAACTTGGTTTCCGAGGGGTTTATACAAGTAATTTTGTTCATGTGAATTAATACATATGTATGTTTCTATGTAACGTTTAGTCGAAATGCCACTTTATGCTAATAAGGACGATGTTGCCAAAGCTTTAAATGATTTACCAACAGTTTATCCACTAGCGGTCAATGTAACTTTAGATACCAACTCATTTGTAGTCACGTTTCCGCAACAAATGGGTGATGTTCCATTATTGACAATCATCTCATCAAGTAACAGCAGTGGACGAAATGTAACAGAAGTTACGAAAGGTGTACCATCTGGTTCTTATATTGCTTTGGAATTAGACGGTGCAGTCACACAGTATTTGGATTTTTCAAACAGATCTCTGACCAATCAAATGCTTGTCAATGAATTCAGGCAGCTATTTACCATTCGATGTCCACCCTCACTCTATGATCAAAGCGTAGATCCAGATATAATCATTGCAAATGATTTCGAAAGCAACCTTTATCCATACGATGACACATTCAACGTGAGAGAAAGCGCATTTTGTGGTCGCGGTGCAGCTACAGTTACTAATGTTGAGACAAGTCTAGTCACGGGTAACTCAGATCAGTCTGCTGAATACATCTGTTTTGCATACAAACTGCCTCAAGGAAAGTCAAATATTACAATGTATTTTAAAGTCGAAAGTGATCGCGACTTCGATTCATCGATCACCGAAACATTGTCAATACCTCGATTACTAATTTCCGACAACTATTGGCATTACACATGTATTGCATTACGAGACACAATTGAAGAATATTTTTCTTACTTTTCTTATGCTAACTATCTCATCGTTCAAGATGTTTTTCTCGATTCGGATTCCCAAGGTGTCATGTTCGACACAGTTACATTAAGAAAAAGTGTTCCCAATGGATATGAAAATGAGGCTAAAATTATGTCCAGCGATCAATCAGCATCAAATGCCTGCACATTTCCATTCAAGTACAATGGTGAAAGTTATTCTCGATGTATTATTATCAACGAAGAAAATCTTCCTGTTTGTCTATCATCCACGAATCAAATATATTACTGTCAAAGTTCGTCAATCGAAGGCGTTCGACGATTTTATCCAAAATATCAACTTCTATACAATTCTCTCCAAATAAGACATACATCGCTGAATCGTACAATTGACATTTCATTTCAATACACAACATGCCGTTCACCAACATTGATTAAAGCATTGCCTGCCATCGTAAGTGCTCGATGTTCCTGAAGATCGTTCTATTGTTTTTATCATTTAGTACACCAATGTAACATCTTTCAGCAAAACATCCGAACCACTTGAGGGCACATATGATATTCAATTCGACGGAGAAACCTATCCATCAGTCCCAGTGAAATTAACTGCTGTTCAAATGGCAGATCTTTTTCAATCATTTGATAAGATCGGCTATGTATCAGTGAATCGTGCAGGTATATGTCCATCTTATTCGTATGACATAAGTTGGTTTGCGAAGCGACAACAACCACGAATAACGATTGTCAATACAACAAATGTACGACCGATAGGTTTATCAGTTCGTTCGTCATCGGTGCAAGTTGGCAACGATGGGAATGTTTTTTACGATCTTCCAAATGACATGATGCGAACGTGTCATGATACACCGCAAGTAGATATCGAATTTACTATTTTTTAGTGATCTACTTCACCAAGTATCTTTAGGTTGAAGTTCTTGTTAATGGCTTTGCATCGTATTGTTCAAATCTCAATAATAGCTGTCAGTTCCAGGTTTCGATGGCACAAACACCAATGATTATATCAATAGAACAAAATGGAACACATTTAGTCATCTTAGGTGATGGATTTAGTTCATCAAAAGAAGAAAACAAAGTATTGATTGGCGAACAAGGTTCATGTAATGTCACCGATGCTAATCAAACGTACATTATTTGTGAAATTAGCTATGCACCATCGGGTTCACAGATGGTGCGAGTTAATGTTATTAATAAAGGTTTTGCATCAAGCAATACTAATCTCACAGTTAATGTCTCTCTAACTATTCATTCGTTTGATCCACCAGCAGGAGGAATTGGCGGAGGTTATTCATTAAGAATTGTGGGTAATGGCTTTTCACCGAACACGATTATTACTGTGGACGGAAAATTGTGTATTAACTCTCAATTGATGAGTTATTCGTCGATTCGCTGTACTGTACCTCCTTCTATGTCATACAATGATCGCCAGGTTATCCTATCTGCTGTTGATGGACAAATGTTGGTGAATGCATCAACACTATTTACATATAATTCAACTAATCAGCCTTTTATTATGTCTATCCAACCATCTGTTGTTACAATGGCCGGCGGGAGAGTGAATATAAATGGCTCAGGCTTTGGAAATCAATCCTTCTCCGTGTATGTTGGTTCAAAGAGTGCTACCATTGTATCATCGTACATGAATTTGATTCGAATCGATTTACCTCAGTTACCACCCGGCCTTTATCCCATTATCATTAGTACGTCAACAGGCTTTGTTCAATCTCCTACTCCTATCGAATATCGATTTTATATCCAACAAATTAAACCTTCGATTAATTCATTATATGGCGGCAGTGATGTTTATATCGACGGTGTTGATTTCCCTAACGGGACATCGGTTCAATTTCGTAACGAAAACAATCGTCTTCTTTCATGCGACATCATTTCTCTGCAATCCAATCAAATACATTGTCAAGCACCATCATTTGTCCAACAAGTAACGATCACAGCTGATGGTGTTCATCCATCATATGGTCCTGGTTTTGCTTGGTCACCTCAACGACAAACTGTACAGCAAGGTGCCATCGTTACCTGGAAATGGGATTCGTCAGTGAACCTTGTGACACGTCAATATAGAATTCAGCAAGTAGCCAACGCTTATAGTACAGATCCAGTTGTCGATGGCTTTGATTCTGGTAGCGCAACTTCGTCAGGTAAACACCATTTAGGACAATGCCTGGTGTGCATATATGTATGTATTGCAGGTACATTTTCCCATCAATTCAATTCGTTAGGTACTTACTATTATTGGTCACCATCGATTACACCGTATCGAGATATATCCATTCGTGGCATCATCGACGTTATCCCATCGGAATCAGAAGTATGGACGGTTGAAGTAGTTTCAAATGGAAACAACGGTATGATATGCTGTTCTTCTATGAATGAATTAACTTGTTTCCTATCTAGCTCAAGCATGTGTCTTTCCATTTACATATGATTCGGTGACTTATACAAATTGCACTTTGGAAAATGATACTCAGCCATGGTGTTCTCCAACATCAATATACACAGGTCAACGACTCTATTGTAAACCAGCAGGTATGTTTGACAACAAACTATTAAAATTCTAAATGTAAACCTAACGATCGACTTAGTTTCTGCATCATCGAATGCATCATGTACATCGAATATTTTCGACGAAAATCTATGCAATCAAACATCAGCATCATCTCTCGGACCATCACAGATCCTAGTTAGCCAATGTACATCGGATACTGTTCTTTCGATCTCACCTACCAATGGTATTATTGGAACTTTGTTGACAGTAACAGGTACTGTTGATCTTTCATCGACTTGTCCACGTGATAAGCAATGAACTATATTTAGGAACGAACTTTTCTGGAAATATGTGTGAATATGATATTCAAATAGGCACATCTTACCATTGTCCGATTGTAAATATGACATCAACTGAACTTATCTGTCAAATAACATCTGGTTCAATGCTGAGTGGTACCATTGCTTATACTGTTCGCGTAGCTCGCCGTGATTACGGTTATTTGAACAGGCAAAGTCTATTATGGTTCAGATTTGAGGCATCAATATCAAACATTACTCCCATGATTGGTAAACGCTTCTTTTCTTATGTCACATTTCATATAGCACTGCTTTTGATCATTGATAGGTTCGATCTATGGTGGCACCGAAGTAACAATTGAGGGTGTCGGATTCATTCCAGGATCCACACGTCTATTTATCGGTACTACTGAATATACGAATGTTACAAATGTATCTTACTCGAAAATTGTATTCAAAACTTTACTACAACCATTATATGTCAATTATAATTACACCGTCAGTGTGGCAGTTCGTGATACTCTCATTCTGTGTTCAATGCCATCGTGTGTTTTCTCTTGGTCAACAAGTGTAACACCGTATCTTGATTCAGTGACTCCACAAGTCATTAATAGCTCGACAAATCTTACCTTTACTGGTCGAAATTTGCTCATTAATAACAATACCACAGACATACATGCACGTGTGTATATAAATAACAATATTTGCAATGTTAGCCAAGTGACAAATGACTCGTTAATTTGTTCAATCACTGGTGTAGAGATGGGTGTTCATCAAGTTATAGCATTCATCGATGGTTGGTAATCCTAAGTTGCACTGAACATGTACCGAATAATCTTAATTTAGGTATTGGACAAGTCATCTCTTCTCTCAATATCACATCACTAGGCATTCTATCCAGCTTATCACCGTCTACGACTGGTATCTACGGTGGCGCTCAAATGAGCATCTTTGGTAATGGATTTTCTAATACGATTGGAAATATTCAAGTAATGATTGGTGAAAATTCATGCCGTGTTGTTCGAGCAACAGTAAACGAAATTCGATGTATCATTCCTGCTCAAGGCAATAGTTCGGATCAGGCTAACGTCACAGTTATCACGAATAACCTCACTTTAGACTCGTCACTTTTGTTTAGCTACAATAATTCACTAACACCGATAGTCACATCTATTTATTCAACTTCGGAAAATAGTTCAACTGTACTTACAATTAATGGGGATCATTTCATAGTTGGAAACACGACTGTATTTGTTGGAAATTTCCCCTGTAATATTACGAACATGTCTGTTATGTCTATCCTATGCACAGTTAGCCCATATCAACCAGCTGGGCATCATCCAGTAGTTGTCTATGTGACTGATAGCGGTATGTCTAACTCTGATCGCAACTACACTTATGATCTCCGTGTGAACCGCATATCACCTACGGAAGGAGGCTACGGCAGTAGTCTTCACATTCACATCGAAGGTGATGGATTCAACAGTACGAATATAAACGTTCGTATGTGTAATCGATCATGTTTATCAGTACAAATTTTATCGAATACTCGAATGATCTGTGAAACGCCTGATATATTAATGAATGAAACAGCATATTCCTGTAATTTAACTGTAACTGTGGATGATATGAGTCAAAGTCAAATGTTTACTTATGCAGCAAATCTAACAGCACGAATAACATCAATTAGTCCACAGCGAGGAGGAACTGGTGGTGGTACGATAGTTACTATCAATGGTACTAACTTTCCGTGAGTTACTCGTGTAAATCATTCTTCCAACATGTATTCTGTATTTTGTTTACAGGTATTCGTCGAATGAGACCAGGGTGACTATTGATGATGCAAATTGTTCTGTAGTATCAGTTAATTCAACAAGTATCACATGTGAAACAGGCTTCCATTTACGAACGAATCTAAATGCAGCTGTGCGCGTCTATTTCGGTGGTAGTACTTCTGCTATCAGCGATGTTACATTCGCTTACATAGACTTATGGTCAAGTCCATGGACATGGGGTGGCGATGTCCCACCAGAAGCCGGCACGATTGTATCAATCGAAAATGGCACTACAGTCTATTTAGATATTTCAACACCTATACTGAAAGCATTAGTGATCGATAATGCTACATTGATTTTTGACGAAAAAGATATTAGCTTGAATGCAGAATATATCATTATTGTAAATGGTGGGCGTTTACAAATCGGCACTGAAACAGAACCATTTCAACATCGTGCTATTATCACGATGTATGGAAATTTACGAGCGACTCAATTACCTATTTGTAAGTATCGAGTTTCTGTTTCTCGTACGTTGTTTTGCTTATTTCGAGCGTGTGTAGTTGGTGCGAAAGTATTAGCCGTACGTCACGGCATACTCGATATGCATGGACAGACGACAGCCACAACGTGGACAAAGTTAGACAAGACAGCTGAAAGCGGTTCATCAATAATTACTCTTCAACATTCAGTTAACTGGACAATCGATAGTCAAATAATCATTGCTACTACTAGTAATTTTGCCAGTCAAAATGAGAGTGAAGTTCGTCGAGTAACAAATATTTCGTCGGATGGACGGACGCTAACACTCGATAGACCATTAGACTTTACCCATTTGGGCGTTGTTCTTCAGTTCAATGCAACAACTATCGAAGTTCGTGCTGAAGTTGGACTTCTATCGCATAACATCATTTTTCAAGGTTTAATTTCTACACTAGTTGTCTTCATGTTTAAAAGGCATTCCGATTTCATTTAGGCACGTTTACCACCACACAAAATTTTTCAGTAGTTGAGTGTACCTCCAGTTTCACTCATGGTAGGCTGACATCATATCAAGTAAAACAAATTTATTAGGATTTATTCATGTTTTTAGACATTTTTACTATCGACACATGTTCATCAGGCCAATATAATAATGAAGTCGGTTTGGATAAATTTGGTGCAGTGATCATAGCTGGCCCCGATACACAATATATCGACACTCAAGAAGTTCTGATTCGCATCTCAAATGTTGAAGTACACACTTCGGACAACGATTTGATTCCTTCGTTTTTCATTTCTTCTTCTTTTATAGTTATTCAATGTGGGTCAAAATAATGTTAGTCGAAAATACGATCAAAATAAATATCGTTTTCCAATATACTTCCGTAAAAACGGAAACATAAGCATGTCCTATGTCAAATCATCATCAATTCATCTATCACACAATCGTGCGATCGGTATTCATCTTAGTAACTATGTTACTATCGAAGATAATGTTGTCTATGATATTTCGTAAGATTTTCATTTTTGAAATGTATGATTGTCAGACGCGCAAGTCTCTATCTTTTTTGTAGGGGACACGGTATTCATCTCAATGATGGTAGAGAGATTGGCAACGTCTTTCGAAGTAATTTGCTAGTTTGGGTTCGAGGACTTTCGAGTCTTCTCGACGAAGACGTTACACCGGCTGCTTTTTGGGTGAGTAAAGAACTCTCGCACATGCTCTAAATCGATATATTCTCATAGTTAACCAATCCCAATAATACATTGGAGCATAATGCTGTAGCTGGTTGTACTCATTACGGCTACTGGTATCGATTGGTTCCGATAATTGATGAATCATCAAATAGCACAATTAAAGAATACTATCCGTACAAACAACCATTTGGTGTTTTTTATAACAATAGTGTTCACAGCACAGGTTTATATGGCGTGTGGATCTATCCGGAATACGCACCGACTATCTCGGGCAGTTCATCTGATAATAGCTCATCGAAAGCTAGTTTTGAAGGAGTAGTGTCGTGGAAAAATAGAAAAGGCATTGAATACTACAAGTCAAAACCTATTCAGATTACGGATTCACTCTTTTTTGATAACACAGATGCGAGTGTTAGTTGTATCTATGTGTTTTCTCAAGAGAACTCTGGCTTTTCGCAAAATCTCATAAGATCCTATGATATCGAGAATAGCTCATCCGTGATCAATTCTATAATTATCGCCTACTCGAATGTTTCAAATGAAGCTATAGCGGAAGCAGTAGTTGGTCTGATCAGTAAGTTCATTTTTTAAGTTCTTATTGGCCTATTTCTGAATGATTTATAGTTCCAAGTGATCGTGATTTTCGTGTCTATAATGTTGCATTTATCAACTTTCTGAAAAACAGTACGATACCTATTATTGGACCAATTTATGTCGAGCCATGCAATGATCATTGTGCAGGTATGAACTTTCTTCTAATAGAATAAGATTCTATATGGAAACCTATTGATAGGTTACACAACTAAATTTGCAAACTTATCATTCACTAATGTTCAACTTCGTGCGAAATTTCGGTGGGATTACGATGGTATATACGTTGATGAAGATGGAACGTTAACTAGTCAAAATCAATCAATGATTGTATTAACACAGAATGGTCTAAATAACGAATCATCTTCGTGTGCACCAACTTCTTTGTTTGAAAATGCTGTCCAATGCCCGCTATCAAATGGGCCATGGATTCGCATGACTTTAACTGAGAACTACAATGTTTACGGTGGTAGAAATAATGGGCCATTGTTCATAACTGATGATAACAATCACACAACGTATGTGCCATGGACTGAAGGAGGACTTTCTTATGCCAAAGGGTATGTCACAGCGTTGCAAGTAAATAGGACATACCATATTGACTATAGCGATTCTCGAGTAAGTTACAAACTTGTACTGTACTTGCCTATAAAATCTCTGCTTATGTTGATCATTATTAGAGTTGGTTATACCATGAGTATTGGATTACGCTTTATGATATGGCTCCCGGTGATTACATTATTATTAAGCACAATATGGACAGCAAGCCTGACAGCGGATATTTCTACTCGCCGATGACATCATATTCTAGTTTTAGTTTCAGTGGCGCTTCAATGTACGATTCCGAAAACAAAACTTTTTCTTACATAAGTGAGTAAAGCTCATTTGATGACATGCAATTAGTCATCATTTTATTTTCCAGTTAAGAATCCACCAACATCCAACACACCATATGATGTTCAGTTACGAGTAAATTTTAATAAATACAGCGGCGGTGGTGGAGGAGGCGGTGGTGGTGGCGGTGGAATCATAACCCAAACGGAAGTAAGTAGATTCTATATTAATTGGAAGTAAAGTCTTTCTCACCCTAATTTTGCGACACATAGTACATACGAAAGCACTTCTCATATCCTTTATGTCATTTTTATGATGGAAATATGATAGTAGACTGTACCGAAATATCTTATACAAACTGTGGAAATACTTCTACATAACAAGTATATATTGAACTTTTTTCTCTAGTGTTTCTATCCCACGACGAGATACTGGTCAAATAATGCTGACTGGACAGAGCAGCAAACATATCCTAATTGGTGTAAATAAACAGCCTTTGTTAACGGCCATGTTGAATTCTTTTAATATTCTCTTTTACAGATAAACAAAAACCGGGTGATTATCAAAACATCACTATTCCTTGGTGCTATCAAATGATCATTGATCAACCATTGCCACGCATTCAAATGCTAAGAATCGAGGGCACTCTTGAATTTCTATCGGTTAGAGGCAAACTAGTGTTTGTTTTTTTTTAATGAATTGTTATGCTCAATAGGGAAGAAATCACACGATGTACGTTGACAATATCGTTATTGATGGCGGACGATTAATTGCCGGTAAATATCAGATTTATCTCACATACAAAATGTGAACCTCGTTGAATGTCATTCATAGGTTCAGAACAGAGTCCATTTGTTCAAAACATCGATATAATCTTACCTGCTAGCGGTACAATCACGAGCACTTTAAGTAATACATCACGATCTGCTTATACAACAGCGTATGTTGATAAAAGTGGTCTCGATTTGCATGGATCAACGCATAATATCACATGGACGCGTATTGCTGATACTGTGCAACCAGGTAATTATTCTATTACATTAGCGGAATCAGTCGATTGGCAAATCGGTGATGAATTTGTGATAACAACAACCGATACAAGTATATCACATACAGAAAGACATCGCATTGCCGGGATAACAAACAACAGAATTATACGTACAACAAAGCCGTTGAGTTATACTCATCAAGTTATTCGACGTTCATTTTCTAATGGATCGTCTGTTTATATCGCTGCTGCCGTTGGTTTATTGACGCGTAATATACGCATCATTAGCACTGGTGTACAATCCGATCGAGCCAGTGTAAAAATTTCTATTGTTAACACTTCGTCAATTTACAGACCTAACATCTTCCATGTTAGTTTATCAAACGTACAATTTATTGGTATTGGAGAATTCAGCGACTCATCGTCAGAGATTGAAAAATCCGGTATATTTATCAGTAGTATAAATGCATCTAAGTCTGCATGGCCTACATATATTCGTGGATGTTCATTTGATGGTGGATTTAACACTGCGTAAGCAAAATGCAGACTTTGATTCTTTGTCTACATATTTCGATTATAGAGTAAGCCTTAAAAGTACACATTTCATGTCGATTGCAAATAATGTTATCTACAACACATATCGATCGGCACTGACGATAATTTCTGGAAGAAATAATATCATCGACAGCAATTTGGTCACAACTGTATATTGGTCAGGTACAGCTCAATCTCGTTCAGTAGCGGAAAAGAACACAGACTACGATGCGGCAATAACGACTGATAAAACCACGAGTGTTGTTATGACAGTATGTATCAACCTTTGAAATCGAAGAAATCATTTTTCGTTTTAAAATAGAACAACTTAGTTGCCGGTGTGGAACGATTAGCTTTTCGTATCAAGGGTGATGTATGTCCTGGTGTAATTATTCCCAGTTATATCAATAATACGCATTCGAACAACGAAGTTCATTCAGCAATGGCTGGTGTTAGTATTTGGCCAAACGATCGAGGATCTGTTTTTGATCGACGTAAGTGCTTCGAAACTTGTTTCAATAACACGTAAAATTACGCTTTTGTTTAGAATGCCTCCTTATCAAAGGCTTCAAGTAAGGAGAACTATAGAAATAAAGAAGCGACAAACGTGCTATTCTTGGTTATTGTTTAGAGTTTACAAAGCATGGTACTACGGTTTGTACATTAATTCAATTCGAAACGTAACTATTGACTCATGCACATCAGTCGACAATTATATCGGTATATTCGCGTTTGTCGTTGGACCAGCAGGTAAGAATTAAGTGTGATTTATAGTCATCTTAATCTATCATTCTTGTGAACATTAGCCGAATCGCATCAAATTTCACGCAGTCGTGTTGTAATACAAAATTCAGTTATCGTTGGATCGATAACTCCAAATGATTGCAATGACAAAATCAATCTGAGTTCGTCAAATATTCAATATTCAACGATAGCGATGCCGACCGTATCACAAGATCCACTTATAAATGGAAATGGTAGTAGGGTTGGTGTTGTATATCCACTTTTTTCGATATCTAATGGAGCACCTATACAAAGTTGGACAAACACTATTTCTAATCCGTCTCGTAAGTTCAGACGAACAGTTTGTATTGGAAAAGTCGTTTTTTCCTATCTCAAATTAGTTGATGGATCGACATCGATTAGAAATACGACTATTGCACTCTTCAATGATGTTTGTGGCCGACATGACACGGTTATTCAAGTGCCTCAAAGTAATACTGATGCGAAATTTCCTATTGAAACATCTTCAATATCTCGATACAATGTATCGGATTCCAACATAATCTTTAACGGAGAACCAGATATAGCGGAGCGAGAACCCGCCATTTGTAATAATGGTAAGTTGACTAAACCTATTATTGTAAGAGTCTTATACGAATTATTGATCCAGGCATTTATTGCGATGGTCGAAAAAAGAATTTGCTTAAGGATCTCGACGGTACTATATTTAGTGCCCCTACTAGTGCCATTTCTCAAGCAGATATTTTTGGAAGTAAATATTCGCATTAGTTTAGCGCTTATCTAATCAGAATTCATTTATAGATACGCCAGGTCGTGGTATTGATGATAATGAGATCCCGTCTGCGGCAAAAACTGATTTATCAGGACAGCAAATTAATATTTCTGTAGAGTATCCATATCGTGGTATCGCTCGTAGTCTTGCATGCTCTCTTCAAAAAGCATTGCCAATGTATATTTGCGACCACAAGACTGATTATTACTTGTTAATCATTGAGAGTATGGTTTCTTATGACAAAGCCCGTACTCTCGCACCTGTTGCAATATTGTCTGCTAGTGGTTATATTGATCTACTCGCTGGGCCCAGACTTTATCAGTCGACACGTTTACCAACATTTACAGCAATTGTCCATTCTGATATTACTTATAAAATCTATTTTCATGATTACCCGCCACAACACATACGGTTTCGTTTAATTAATGCGAATCCATCAGTTAGATGCATTGTAGCTGTTTATTACAACTCAATACAACAAATCGATGTTTATGCTAATGGTACATATGTATCACCAACTAATCGAAATCAGTCCACTGTACTAACGTTGCTCGATGAGCCCAATAAAGTGAATCTGTCATCCCCAATTGGAGCCAACTATTACGATAGGTTAGAACTAGCGATTGGAACTTTTCATTCACTCTTCTTCTTTCTAAATAGAACATATCGATTGCTCTATTTCCTAATCACTGGTGACACTACAATCGAAGCAAAAGAATCATCACTGCTTATTCTTGGCTTTGGTTTACGGGCATTGAATGATTCTACGTTTTATACGGATAATGTTGCTAGTAACCTAGCTTACGTGTTCGGCTTTGATCGAACCAAAATTCGACGCGTGAAAATCGTCAAAGAATCTCGTACAGGGTAGGTTAAATATATATTTTGTATGATTCTCTAAATACTTGATTCATAATAGCCGCAGCTCCAATAATGAGGAATCGAGTGTATTACTTATCGAAATTCGTGATGAACCTCGGTTTTCTTTACAATCAACTGGTAGCCTTAGCTCGGAAGTTCTGTCGATTATTGCTGCAAAGATCATCAATACCTATCAATCTGGTGAATTGACTCAAAACTGGAAAAATTACAATATCACAGGTGATATAGTTCCCACTAGTTTGAATGTTCAGGAACCATTGAATGATTCAAATATCAACTTACGCATTATTAATCGAACTAAACTTTGGACAGTACCCGATCAATGTCGTCAACAAAGTCCATGCACTATTCAACCAATTATTATTGCCTACGACTCGGACGGTAACGTCATTGAAAAATTGGGTTCAAACGATCATCCTTGGCAAGTTAAAGCTACGATTGTTAATCAACCAAATGTCACCTTACCCGGTGCTATCGCTAATTATACAAACGGACAGACACAATATACACTTTTTGGTTTACCAAATATTGGTACATTTGAAGTTCAATTCGCATTTATTAAACCAGATGGTTCTAACAGGTACTTGTTCTGATGTTGTATTTCATCATTCGTTTGATCTTTCTTTGTTTTAGTTCATTTTTTCAAAATGCGAATCTTACTGTTCAGACTGATCCTATCACTGTGACAAATGCTACTTTAGCTGGTCAACAACTGAACAATGTCTATGTGATTAATATTAGTCAAGCATTCGACATATCTATTCTACTTATTGATAACGTCACTCGTCGTCAAATAGGACAGACTCAATGGGATGATTGGAAATGGACAGCTAATGTCACAATTTATACTCTTCCGAAATTTCAACCTCAAGGCACAGTAATCAAACTTAATACCTCGAGATCTTTACTCAGTCGACCAAATAAACCCGTTACCATACCTGATTTGACCATCGATAGCCTTGGCATGTATATATTAAATATATTGTTAGTATCAACAAATAATCAATATATTGTGACCTTGACATCAAATGGTATTCTTGTGAAAAATGCCTTTCAGGGTACTAGTGGCATTGATGACTATGATACTGGTATGCCACATGAAAATATTTATGTATACATTCTCGTTTCTATTTTACAGATAATTTCGTAACTGATGTCAACTATCTGACTAGTAATATAACGTTTGTGAATAATTACGATGATCTCAAAGCTTCGAATCAACTTGAAATAAAACGAGCCATGATTTACAATTATTTGTTGAGTATTAGTATGCCATTGATTAGTGATGTTGTTTTAAAAGAAGGTATATCATGCCATAGGAAGACTTAGTGAACATTCATTTTTTCATATCTATTCACTTTCTAGGAGAGATGGTTGTATTGTTTCAAGTGGACGCACTTCCTGTGGATATTGACCGAGCAGTAACCACGATTTTATCCAATCCCAATGTCATACCTGATTTAACCGTTTCCTCCGTGAACATTAACGGTCGTTCGTATTCAGTTTCGCCTACAACAAATCAAAACATGAAGCCAAATGACGACAATAAAACTAGCTTACTTGTTGGTATCCCTGTGGGTGTGATTGGTATCATTATCATAGTTGGCATAGTTGGCGCAACTGTATATTTTTTCCAGAACAGAAAACAAAAACAGACGAAAGATAAATATTCACAAGGTAGTATTTGCCTGCGATTCTCTTCAATTACTAAAATTTCGTTCAAATTTGTTTAGATGAAGTCGGTATTCGGCAACGTATGGATGGAGTCATACATGAATTCACAGAGCTTAATTTGGATGTAGCTGAATAATATATGCATTGAAATAATCGATGGAACATTCTAGTAAACAGTGAATTTTTTTAAAGATTTGAAATAAAACAGCTTTTGTGCATATATTTCTCTCGATCGCGAAAAAAAACATACAAGCTCGTCATATCGTGTCGGTTATTTAAAGAAAACACAATGAAATATTAAAAAACAACTGTTGCATTTGTCGACAGAGGATTCTGCGCGGTTCGTCCATATGAGTTTGTTTTTCGGAAATTAAAATAATAGTGTAGTAGATAGTGCTGTGCTGGTATTTAGTTGTCCGCCAGCAATCAATATTTTTCTGCTGTGTAATACCGATACTGTATGAGAATATCGCGATGTATCTGAGTTACTAATTATTGTCCAATTGCCAGTTGATGGATTGTACAATTCTGTCTTTGTTAGATTACCTGTATAGTCATCACCACCAGTCACCATTACTTTTCCATTAGGTAAAACAGTTGCTGTGTGTGCGTATCGTTTGTTATTTAAACTACCTACAAGAGACCATGTTCCATTTGCTATGTCAAATAATTCACAACTAGACAAAGCATCTGATTGACCTCTTCCGCCTACCACTAACACTGAACCATTCGATAACAAGGATGCAGTATGAAACCTACGAGAAACGTTCAAGCTCTGTACCATCGTCCAAACTTCCATGTTTGGATCGAATAATTCTACACTGTTTAGAAATGAACCATCATATCCACCTACAGCTAACACTGATCCATTCTGCAATAATGACAGCGTGTGCCCGTATCGTCGATTGGTCAAATCTCCTGTAACTGTCCAGTTCCCTGATACTGGATCATACATTTCACAATGGGGCGATGCAGTTCCATCGGTTCCACCAACAACTAATACTGTTCCATTGGACAATACGATTGCTTGATGTGAATATCGTGGAAAATTCATGTCACCCGTTCTCGTCCAGTTTCCCGTTAATGGATCGTAGATTTCAGCTGAAGCCAAAGTATTGGTATGAAAACCACCAGCAACCAGGATTTTTCCATCAGGTAAAACCGATGCTGTATGTAAACGCCTCGGCATATTCATGGAATTGATAGGCATCCACGTTTCTGTTAGCGGGTTAAATAGTTCAACACTCTGTAAAGAAGTGCTACTAGTTATTCCACCGGCTACTAACACTTTGCCATCGTCCACTACTGACGCTGTGTGAGAGTATCGCGCGATATTCAAATTACCGACGCTTGACCAATCTGAACAAAAGACACAAATAAGAAAATCGTCTTCTGACTTAAATCTATGTGTGACATGAGCCGAAACCAACAACGTGTTATACGCTAGCCTTTTCGAAAAACGAGCTACCAAGACCTTTCGCACTGAACTCAAAAGTAATCCACGTTTAAGCTTTTCCTTAACCTACTTCTACGTTAGTGTGTTAGCGATATTTTATACGTAAGATATCCTACCTCCCGGTTTGCAAAAGTCCAATGTATACAATGGCAAACATACAGTTCTCGGCGAACAACATGTATCAACGACGCAAACAGATGCGTTTGATGCACATTGATACGTAACATTATCACATGCTTGAAAAATTGAGCAGTCCACAGCTGGTCCACAAACATAATTGCTATTGTTCAGACTATATTGAAAGCACGGTGTTGATGAAGCGCGACAACTATTATCATCGGCACTACTTGAGGGGCATTGTGATACAGAACAATTCGCCGCTGTGTTCCGAGCAGAATGATCCTGTAGGGAAGAGCTAAATTTCGCAGCAGTATTACTCTGACCGCAGACATAATCAGATGAAGTTGCTGCAAGATCTAAACATATTAATTTATGACGATCATATTAGATGAACAGAAATTATGAATATATACTTATTATGTAGAATTGAATTATACCGATGAAAAAAAGTGCTAGTAACTTTTTCATTTCTTTTCAGCAAAATGACGACGCCAACATTAACGATTGAAATTCGTTTGACGCTGTTCTCTTTGTGTTATAGTTTACACAAAAAGAAACTTGAATGTTCTTTTCTTCAAAATTTACTTGCGAGGAAGTGACGATAAAATATATGTGAAAAATAATGCATCGAAAAACAACTCTGACTCCTTCTTTTTCTTTTTGTTAACGTGACTACAAAAAATTCAATTATCTGAGCACTTATAGATGAAGGGAAGAAAAATCATTCAAAACAACGTCATTGGATTTTTGATCAAACATGGCATTTTTGTGCACTTCGAATAACATTTTCAAAAATCAGCAATTGTCGTCGTTTATTTATACACCCACACTGACTTCTTTCCTGACAATTCTATCCAATCATTGTTTCTGTTTGAATTTAGTTTTCTTCGTAAGTATAAAGTTAATTCAGAGCAGATGTGCACTTCGGATCTATACTTTGCGATTGTGTATCTATGTGAAAAAGCGCAGACATGCAATCCAACTGGTTGAAATCGTATGAGCATGCTCAGTTTGCGTTTGCATTACAGTTGTACACCATTAAGAGTAATCTTTCTTGGCATCTTGTGCAAGCGGATGTTCGGCAGCTGAGTTTAGAGTTCAATCTCAGGATTCGCTGAGTTATTGATAAAACTATATGAACGTCTTAGGTGCCTGTGTATGCTCAGTTGAAGACAGAATAGACACAAGAAATAATTTGCGTTCTGTTGACTTACTCACCCAACTATATGCGCTAGTGTGAAGATTGAAACGATGATACTCCCACACTGAAAATAGATTTTGTTTTGCATCGTGTACTGAGTTCGATCAGCTCTTTTCAATTTCCTTTTCGCCTGCACAGTCTGCCGTTACACACAATCAATGGACTGTAAAAACGAAAAATTAATTCGTGCTGCTAGTGACTACGCACTTAAATCGAATTAGACTATTGCTCAAGTCATTAACATATTGTAAAAGCATGATTCATATTTTGTAAGCTTGTTGTTCATCCAATCAAAAAGTGCATCTATGTATTCAGTATGCTCGATCTATACTGTTTGCAAATACATGCACGTTTTTTTTCAATAGAACGGAATATTTTATGCACGAAGCAAATATATTATAGTATGATAAGGTTAGTAAGAATTTTTGTTAGGTATCACTATTGTTCTCAACAAGAAAATTTTACTTGTTCATAAATAGGAGAAGAAAACATTATACTTAATCTAGGTTCTCAGTATTGCCGCCCGTATGGATTTCGAATGCAAACATGCTTATGTGTTTGGTTAAAAAAAATAAGTTTGTTAGCTCGAGCGGTAATGGAGATATTCAATTTTCTTTTTCGATAAAGTCATTTGTATACCATTTCGTATATTGTTTTGTGAAAAAGTAAAACTTCTTGTTGCGGACAATAATGATACTTAACAAAAGTTCTGACTAACCTTGCCTATATACTTGGTAAAAAAATAAGCCCATTCGGTTGAGTGGTAATGGAAGTATGAAAATTTTTTCCTTAGGTGCGTGACTTTTGGATCACCCTGTATAGTGAGGGTTCCATACGACACTATACATAAGTACGTGACGACGTATATTTATTAGTAGGTAAATTATTTTTTACGTATAAACAACACAGATATATGTCAAAAGCAGTGTGGATTGTACTATTCATGCAAATAGACAAAACTTTGAAAGGGTGTCACTTCCTCTGATTTGACGCTTATTCAGTGGGTATTCGGGCACAAATGGCGAACTAAATCGTTTGGATGAAATACCATGACGCGAAAAGAATGCCAAATGGAAAATAAGAAACAGTTATCCACCGAAAAACAATATGTGCTATAATTATTCACATTTGGATCTGTCACAACGAATATTTCTGATTCGTTTATCACAAATTGATGTCAAACTGTGTAGTCTCTCGGAATTGAACAGATTTAGTTGTTCTATAGGTGTGTATGATGACCTTGAAGTCACAGTGGAAAATATCCCGTAGAGATTTGACTTCACATTTATTTTCCCTATAGGTATATACAAGGACATGTAGTTAACGCATTTCCTAATCGTAAATAGTTACAATTTCCTTCGTGCTCTACTGCTGGAATCAAAAAATCTGCTAGAGGATCGAGTTAGTTATTTTCACAAACATCGCTGCTTCGTAACATCTCTAGAAACAATTTACTCTATAAGTGTCGTCTGTCTCTTTCAAGCCTGCCTTCTATGCCATTACGTATAGCGCAGAGTAATCTGAGCAATTGTGTCAAGCAATACATCAGCCGCAAATGCAGAATCAAGTGAACCATTGTTTGCAGCTTATTATCCACTAACATTAGTTATTGTGGGCACCATACTGAACCTTTCAACTTTGTTCACTCTTTACCGCCCAACGTTTCGAGATACGAAGAAATAGGCAACCATCCACTATACGCGTACAATAGCAATCTTTGACATTCTCATGTTATTCGGGTGGAATCTTGATCATTATCTTCCTATCGTACATAGGTTTCTGCCTTTGACAGATTCTTCTCCGACATGTAAGATCTTCAGGTTCTTAAAACTATTTTACTTGGCTTCGAGTATTCGTACATGTGGATTGCTTTATATCAGCTAGTCGTCTTCATTGTCCTCGGTACAGAAGCAGACAGATACAGACCTAGTGGAAAAACAGTGGCAACGCTGGATTATGTCAATATAGGTACATACAGTTGTGTATCATTCGTTTTGATGGCTCAATTCAATACTTGTATTATCTATCATATCGGATCGTTTCCACTGTACTGCATTACGTTCAATGAATTTTCAAAACAAAATCGCTTGCATGACTCCAACTCATATACAGTCATGAACCAATCGAAGCGTCCCACTTGTAATCTAGAGTAGCATGAACTTCTAACTAGTTTCTCGACACATATACACACTTCTTTAAAACTTTGACCGTATGCGCTCAATATGATAGCGAATTTCGGAGAAATACAATATTCTGCAAGCTAATCAAAGATAATCCTTTGTGACAGACAGAATACTGCACACGTCATGCCGTCGTGCATTAATTACAAGCTTGAATGTTGGTAGATCAGACTAACGTT